CGTTATATACATATATATGTATATTTATGCTTCATAAAACGAAATATTTAGCTCCAAACGTTATCATCACAGATATGGTAATATTTTTTTACATGTACCATGCAAATAACAGGAAATTTTGAAGTTTTTGATTTGTTAAACAGTTAAAACGAACGGCAATATAATGGAATGCAATTACAAGTTGCAATACCAATACCGCAGTCGTGAGCCGATCGCCGATTATTTTCTTTACCAATGCAGGTACCTTGATTACAAAACAAGGTCGGTCGGCGCTGCAATTATTTATTGTTATCATTTTAACGGCATGCGATGTGATCTTATGACACTCGTTTTAACATCAATATAATCGTGATTTTGGCGGGGTTTCGAATCTTTTGTTGTTGATAACAATTTGAACTTACCGGGTCGATGTCCGCGTCCCAGACATCCTTCAGATCGTTGGAGATGTCGAAGTAACTCTCCATGTCGGGGCCGGGTTCCTACGACGGCCTCCGACTTCCACTAAGAGAAACTCCTCGAACGAATCGCACTAAACACACCAAACTGTCACGCTTCCACAGACCACGGTCCTTTCTCGAGCGGTGCGAAACTCGGTATGTAAACCTGAACAACTTGCTGTCAATATGAATATATATCGACGGTCACTGCGTATCACAATATTTAATTTTCACTATCGACGCCCATTTGTTTTCGCTGTGAATGATTCTCGTGAAATTTCACTTCACGCGAGGAATGGCGAGTGAGCGTTTAATTTTCAATGTACACGCATCCGCGTCGGAGTACGACCGGCGAATGAAGGCGGCGTTGGTTGTCCCCCCTCGCCCCACCAACCTCTCATTCATAACATGATAGGGGGTAAAAACATGACCGTGGGTTAATACCGGGGTGTCCATACAACCACACAAACATAATAAAACTCATTACAATAATAATACGGGTCCTCTTGGCGTTAATTATACGTGATTCGACCACATTACATTCGATCAATTATTTCTTTTAGAACTATTTTTAGAAACAATATTGTCCGCAGCTATCAGAATTACATAATTGTTTATATTATCTTTTTATAAATATTAATTAGATATTACGTTTTTCTTTCGAGAATATTAGATATTGTCAGATTTACCAGATAAGTATGACTTTTAATTGTAAATATAAATAATAATTAATAAGTTTAAGGTAAAAAGTTTTGTTTATTTTCTTTTTTTTCAAATATATTCATACAGGATAATAATTAATAATTACATGAAAGGGCATTACTTTATACCACATAAAAAAATGTTTCACGTCTTATTTTGTTTAATGTATATATTTTTTAAATATTTTTTTTAATTTAGTGACAACACCACGGACGAATTAAATCAAGACTTAAATGTAATATGAAGCGGGTGCAAAGTTGACGTAAATATTAAATCGAAAGTAAAATAATTTACAAAAAAAAAATTACGAGTCCTACTTTGGAAGGTTAACTTATTATGAAAATTAGGCGAACCAACTTTGAACAGTGAAACATGTCACAAATTAGTAACGAATAGTCTAAAATAATAGCTCAATTACCATGAACATGTTCCATGTATGAATTTTAATTTACAAATTACGCTAGTTACGTATTGATAAAAAAATTTCTTTACCTTTACATATTTGTAATTGCTTTCATTAAATAGTAATTTAATGATGACAATCTGTTTAAAAAGCTGTTGATAAAATTGTCGTCTGCTGTTAATTTTTATTAATACCTACTGATAATGACGATTGTTTATGTTCAATTTAAATTTTAAATCGATAACAGTCAAAGTCTGGAAAGTTCATTTTTTATTTAAGAAATGTTATACAAATATAAAAATATTTATTTCTGATTCCGAAAACATGATAAATTATTATTATATTACATGACTAAAATTAAATATATGTTTTTTAGATAAATATTGTTTTTGGTTTTATTATCATCATTAATGTGAAAGAAGCTTTTACAAATATAAATAAAAAAAATATTAATAAGTTTTTCGGAATAAATAAAATGGATACATAACAATATTGTTATTTAATAGAGATTTATCATGATATCAGTTTTATATATAAAGGTTATCTGAGGCTAATAATGAATATCAAAAGTTGACATTATTTAAAATTTATATTGTTGTAATATGAATGTTCAGATTATCTTATGACTTATGAGTAATGCATTTATTTTATTTCGATAATTCGACGATTAAAAGAAGTTTTAAATATATGTAATTTGATATAATTTAAGAAATTTCAAACATGTGACAGTTGTACTCTAGGACGTTTTTGAATATAAAATGGAGACCAATGTCAAATGTAATGTTGAAAGAAATAAATCAGATTTATTTCTGTTTTCTATTTATTTATTTGACTTAAATTGAATTCAATTCGTGTATATGATTATGAAACAAAATTCCAAATTAGGAGTCCGATAAAAGATATAAAGTTAAATCAAAACACGCTTCACTCAAATGATCGTTTGAATAAAGTAACTCAGTGCTTACTGTTTTTAGAATATATTACATTCAATATAAAAGTGGTACTATTAAATCAGCCTTAAAAATAAGTAAAAGAGTTAATGCCATATAATTTTAAGTACTACTGATTCTTCAATCGTTCCATAATGCGTTACTTAATACTTTCCTAATTTTAGTTTCGAACCGCTCAAATGGTGCATTTGAAAATATTTAATGGATATTTGAAACGGAAAAGGAATTAATAAGCCTAGTTCAATACCTTACGTTTATATTGTATGACGATTACTTCAAGATGATCGTGCATATATAAATTAATGTTTCATACAAATATTGTGAGGTTATTAATAGTAAATTCCATAACCTTTTGCACGTCATTTCGAGACAAGGTTATATATAGGTTCCTATGTGTATATATATGTATGTGTGTGTTTTTATCTTCGTCCTTTTTTAAAACCAACTAAACTGTATAATGTCAAACGATAATATTAAAAATGGATATAGTAGTATGTAGGTCCTTAAATAACACTAGTTTTGTAGCATACAAATAATTTCACACAATTTATTTCAAATCTGTAGGTAGATCCATTAATTTTAGAAGTAGCTATAGTAGCAGCAGGATAAAATAGGTACACTTTCTCACATAATATATTTTAAAAAAGTAATACAATGCTCTACACAACCAAAGGCTTTTGAAAAATTAAAAAATACGGTTTCTGGGCTTAGTTTTGATTCTTAGCTTTTACCTATTTACTAAGCTATTAAAACTTATCTGTAACTACATAAATATAAACTTCTATCTCCTACTTAGACGTAAATGGCGCTTGGAAAATTCTTTGCGTAAACAAAAAGAAAATTGACGAATCACACTAGTACGACTCTCCGAATCTGTTACCTTTACTTATTGCATCAGTCACCCTAAACAAAGTTTCTTATTTAAACTAATTTTCTCAGATACTACATATTTATTTTTATTTATTAATATCTACAATATACATGAAATAAATGATAGACATTCACGGAAAGACGAGATGATATTTTCATCTCAAGTGTTCAAACACTATATAAAATGATAAAAATATTAAAAAAATAGTTTCATTTAAAAAAAACTATATATGTATATCACATTAATAGTCATAGTATGAGTTTATGAACTCATAGAAATGTAAAATTTTATTTTAAAGTAATTAATTCAGTGATAGAGAATTAATAATACAAAACAATACTTTTATATTTCAATTTTTATTAAAACTCATTCAAAATGAAACTACAATATACTTTTCATTTATATACATTTGCATAGATAATAATAAATGTAACATGATTTTTCTTATCTTTATTTAATATTACATGTATTTCCAATCATATTGTTTTAAAATCACTTTAAATAAAATATTATAAATATTAACCCATTACTCTTCCAGATTATTCAAATCTTATATATGATAATAATATTTTTAGTATTATATACTTAACCACAATGTTGTTTGTACCACAATTGTAATACAGAAATTTAAATAATTAACAAATTATTTCATATCAAGAGATCATATTCTAATGCATACAATAAAAAAAACTACTAAAATAATCTGAATCAAAGTTCATAATTCGTCATTTATATTAAAATTTATTGAATGTATATAGAAAATAATATTTCAATAAGCCAGTAACTAAAACTCAATATTTAAAATAACAATAATGATTCATTTTCATTCATGGAATGGTTAACCAACGCCAGCGAAACAAGATAAATTTTGTAAACACTACAATCTATTATACCAGTATCATATAATAATTGAGTATTATTTGATTCCTGTTTTCCTCTGTGTTATAAAGAGTGATGGTACGTGCGTGTGAAGCGCTGCTACACCGCCGTGAAGAACACACACTCTTGCTACCATACACTTCACTAGGTACGAACTGAACTGGAAACATAAACAGATATTCAACACTAGATGGCGTTGTTAATAAATATTTTAATTGCGAAAGTTTGTGAGTGTGTGTGTATGTTTGTTACTTCTTCACGCTCAAACGGCTGAACCGATTTTAATAAAATTTTGTATACAGGAAGCTGACGTCAAGGAATAACACATAGGCTACTTCACATCCCGGAAATCTGTGGTGCTGGTAACACCGCGGGGCGCAGTTAGTTTAATATATAAATTTCGGAACCAGACTTATTCTTTATAATTAATCTCAGTAAATAAATTTTAAAATTAGTTTGTAACTTGAACATACATTTTGTAAGCATATTATCAATGTTTAAGTAATGCAGTTTTCAATTGAATTATAGATACTTATAATTGTATATTGAAATACATATGTAGCTTATATTTGAAAATGAATGAGCAGTTAGTATTACATTAGCATTCAATGGATTCACTTTGCAAGTGTCGGGTCCATCGTTGTAGTGAGAGGAGCTTCAACAGTGACTGAGACTTGCGACCCAAGTGTAGGTTTAACGGCATATCTTAAACGCGTTAGACGCTCACTTACAGTCCAAGCTCCTCTTTCTACGAAATTTTAAATGAACCTACTAGGGCTGCCTTTGTACAATATTTTGATGAAATCAAAAACTTTATCTCTTACCAGTTGTGCTGTCCCATCTTCAGCGGAAGCAACTACTATGATCTTATTCATTTTAACAGCTTCTACTAAAACCTTGTATGGTTGAGGACCCAAAGACTTTAGCTCATGCTGTCCGAGATGTACCCCGCTATATGGAATGTTTATACTGCCTTCTATACAGCTTTTTTCATACCTGTGAAATTTTAATAGTAATTAAAATCTACATACATATTTAAATTAAGTTATATATGAAAAAAATTTAATTTCATGAAGACTTATGTTAATGAATGAGTAGATTTTCAGATATTTTCAGATATCTGAGAAACTAGCTTTCCGCCCGCAGCTTTCGGATTCCAGAGATTCGCAGAGTTCGGATTACAAGAGAACGTTTCAAAAGTCTGGGATAAAAACTATTCTATGTTCTTTCTCAAGGTCAACTGTTTGTCTGTACCAAATTTCATTAAAATCAGTTCAGTGGTTTAGGCGTGAAAGCTTAACAGACAGACAGACAGAGTTACTTTCGCATTTATAATATTAGTGGGGATAGTAGAGATAAATTTAATTTATTCCATATTTTTATGATTATTTAATATAAAACTCACAATAAATTAGATCTTATGTCAATAACACAGCATTTGTCTTGACATATCAGGGAGAAGAAATCTGATAGACTTATTCTCGGGCAAACTTCATTCAGGAGTATCTCCATTGGAATTTCAACCATATCCTGAAACGAAAACACATATATTTGTATACAAATACATTCATACGTTACAGTTCATAATTGTATACCAATTAATATTATGTTAATAGGAGATATTATTGGCTAGTAATTAATGTTCAATGCTATAATAAAGTCCATTGTTATGATAATCATTGTGTTAACTCAAATAGAATTGAATTAATATGTATTACACTATATGGTCATCAATTATTGATAAATTAGAGGTGTTGTACTGAATGAATTAATTTAGATTCTTGGATTAAGCTTATATATAAAATTCTCGTGTCATGTTAGGCATAGGTTAATGAAATTTTGAGAGCAGGTCTGAGAATCGGCCAACATTTATTTTTCATACCCCTAAGTCATAAGGGTTGTTCACCCTATTTTTTTGTTTTTATAAATATAATAATACATACAAACGAAAATTTTTACTTTTTTATCACCAACCCCTATTTTTTATATGGCAAAACAACGTTTGGCGGGTCAGCTAGTTATACAGGGTGACTGGTGAATTACTATCGATACTTGAGGACGTGATATTTGACGATCATATATGACAAAATAAAAATTAATATAACATAAATATTAATAAACTTCTAAGTAAAGTTAACCAAAAGTTATGTAATTAATTACGCATCGTGTGAACACCCTACAGATTAGGTATACACACATACACACGTCGGCGGCGTAGTGTTGTATCAGCACGCCGCCGCACGCGTCCACACTTGGAACATTTGGAACGTGTCCGCACTTTATTTATTTATACGGAAATTTGGTCAAAAATTAAGTACCTATTTTTTTTAACATAATTCGAATGAGAATCATGTACCGAGTATTCTCGTTAAATATTGATAGTAATTCACCAGTCACCCTGTATATAATAATTTTACATATAAATGTATTTAGATAGGTTATATATGCATATCTCACCATTGGATCTTTTATTTCAGGTTCATTCGTGAATCTTCTGTAACTGAGACTCTTTGGCGTGCTGCGACACATATCTATGGATTCCTATTAAACAAATATTTTATTATAATTTTTCACAAAATTTATTTTATCTTACTTGTTGATGGCTCATATGATATTTTAATGTAAAAAATATTTAAAAATATTATGCTCAAGCAAATAATATATTGGTTGAACAATCATATACCTTAATACATAAGTCATGATGTTGTATTTTAATAAACTTATGACTTATGTACTTATAACAAAGATACAAGTCAATATATACAATTTTTTAATTATATTTTTTTTATTTCTACGTAAAAAAATAAGAAAACAGACGGTAAACAAAAAAAAATCCCTATAATATAATGCAAGTCAACTTTTCCATGCTAGTTTAAATTGTCATCTACAATTGTACCTGTCAATACTTTTAGTGAAAAATCGTTAAATATATATCATATATAATTTTGAGCTATATATAAAAATTTATTATGAATTTAAAAAGAAGTTAAATTAATCCCAATACATAAGAGTTCTTTGGATAGAACTGTTTCTACACTAACAACATCTTAAGCCTATTACTATGATTGAATATGAAAAAAACTATATACAGTAGGACCCCGATTATCCGGACCTCGGTTATCCGAATTCGCGATTATCCGGACCGCCAATCGCGACTAGTTTATTCTAACATTAACATGTCAGAACTTGCATAATACCAAATACATACATAATTATTGTAAGCAAATTATACGTACATTATGTACAATCTATACTAATATTATAAAGCTGAAGAGTTTGTTTGTTTGTTTGAAAGCGCTAATCTACGAAACTACTGGTTCGAATTGAATAATTCTTTTTGTGTTGGATAGTCCAGTTATCGAGGAAGGCTGTAGGCTATATAACATCACGCTACAACCAATAGGAGCAAAGATATAGTGGTAAATGTGTAAAAAACGGGAGAAATTATTTCATCTTTGAAGCCTTCCCTTGCGTGTGCCGTGAAAACGGTTCAAGATACACAAAAAATATGTGTTAAAGAATAAGAGCTCTTTTAATGATCTAAAAAACAGTCCGCGACAGTATATGTCTATCTTATAAGATTAACTCACAAAAACCGTTTTTATGGTACCTAATTTGGTCGAAATAGTTTGTCTAAGTTGTATCAACATAATAATATTAATCTTTATTCAAATAAACAAATAAATATGTTGTTGGTTAAGAGTACTTCATTGTGAAAAAAAAACATAGGTTTTATCCTGAAAATTCTACGGGAACTCGACCATTCCGAAAACCCCGCAAGAACGGGAACTACATATGTGGGAAGAATCAAAAATCTGCCGGAAGTCACTATTCCACGCGGTCGAAGTCGCGGCAAAAGCTAGTTTTTTTAATAAACGTTGATTTTCGCTCATATGTATTTGTTGTTTTAACTAAACACCTAACATTACATATGTATGGTACAGACTACATATGTACATATGCAAAAAGCCCGTTCTTCATATATTGGATTATCTGGACTTTCAATTATCCGGATGCCTACCGACAACAATTAGTCCGGATAATCGAGGTCCTACTGTATATATATATATATACAGACCTTAACGCATTCTCCTATATCAATTTCTGGTAGATCTGAGAATAATAGTATACATTCGTTGAAGCCCGAATCTAATAATGTATCACGTAGTTGTCGGAGTATAGCGGCTCCCATAAACAGTGGCAGGGAAGGACCCTCTACTAGCAGAGCGTCCCATAGGTGGACGATCTTGTGTAGTGGGAATACATCTGGAATAAAATGGAATGTTATTGGAATATGGAATATTATGGTAATAGTTCCATTCCTGGAACGTACTGTGGTAGTGTTAATTGATATACAATGTGTGAAATTTAATTATTTATATATGTAATAATTTTATGGAAATTAAATATGCTGGCTAGTAATTGTCATAAAAATTAAATTGGTAATCTGCTTCCAATGTAGATACGCGGAATTATTCAATGGTAACTACGCAGATTCGCACTATCCCCGACGCTATACCTACTAATATTATAAATGCGAAAGTAACTCGGTCTGTCTGTCTGTTACGCTTTCACGCCTAAACCACTGAATTGATTTTAATGAAATTTGGTACATACATAGAGTTGACCATGAGAAAGAACATAAGATAGTTTTTATCCCAAACTTTTGAAAGGTTCTCTTGGAAACGCGATATAACCGAACTGCACGCGGGCGAAGCTGCGGGCGGAAAGCTAGTAGTTTATAATGCGAATTCCGTTGTATTAGCGTATATGAGGTTAATGTTTATATTCAAAATACTAACGTGAGAACATCGTCAGGAACCAAGGTATAGCGAATAGTTCTGGGACGAAGTTGATGTCGTGTAAGTGTGTGGCTAGCTGAGGCTCATGGAAGGCTGCCATTTGCCAGAACTTGGCTAAATACTCCTTTATGACCGCGCTGTTGTCTTTGAGGAAGAACTTGTGAAGGAACTTTGGTACGAACGCTGTTAAACACGCGAACGCACGAGCTGAAAACAAGAAATAATTTAATAATAGATACTTTATTGATACTTTTTGATATTTTATCTGCGTAAAATTATATTTAACTAGCTGCGCCCCGCGGTGTTACCCGCGGATTTCGGGGATGTAAAGTAGTCTATATGTTATTCCTGGACGCCAGCTTCCTGTATACAAAATTTTATCAAAATCGGTTCAGCCATTTGAGCGTGAAGAAGTAACAAACATACATACACACTCACAAACTTTTGGAACAAAATATTATTAAAACATGATATTATTCGTTCTGAAGTGAAACTTCGTATGGACTTAAAACTAGGTTGTGTTAAACGTTTATGCTGAGGGAAAGAGAGAGATATATACACAAATGTATAAAATAGGAGGGAGAAAGAATGATTCTCTATACCCAAGCACTTGACCGTTGTATTTTGATTATGCAGCAAAGTAAATAGTCTGAACATCATGAAATTAGCTGTTATACGAAGTTATTGGTCTATACCTATTTATAAATTTATAACATATTTTCATAATTTCATTTAAAACAAATATAATTTTTTCATTTCCACATTACGAATTTTCATTTCTTCACTCCACGCACAATTTTATTACAAACTTTTACTATGTTATAATATAAGTTAAGACTTAAGAATTTCTCGATAAATGGACTTTTTTATACAACAATTTTTCATGCTTAAGAATGTTACCAGATATAAACGCGTTCAAACAAACAAAAACTTTTCAACTTTATATTAATAATAAAGATTAATTTTCTAGCGTCCTAATAGAATATTGTATAACATTTTTCAATATTAACTTCAATGATAATTTAAGCCATTCTAAATTCTACCTTACACCGTTGTTTTAAAGTTGAATTTTGAAGTAAGACCAACAAAAACACTACTAATATTACAAGTACCTTCATTGCAAAAGTTCAGATATAGGAACGGTGCAGTCAGTGAGTCCAGGCCTTGCCAATAAACGTACTGCGGGTTCGTCAATAACCAGGCTTTTAATAATCTTTTAAGTTTCTTATGTCCCTCCGCGCCGCATAACAACCAACAGTATTGGTGACACCGCGGTATATCCACATCGATCTTGATAGATGAAAAAATATTTTTAATTTATGAACAGCGCCATCTATTATCTGTATGGTACTAAATCAATGGTACAAATAAAAAATACGAGTATAGTCTTCCATGACTGAATTATCAAAATAAATATAGAGTTTATTTTTAGTTTCATTAAAAGTATAAACGATAGTAGAGAAAAATGGGTACTGTGTTTTGTTTGAGTGTATAAAGTTCTTGTGAATGTATTAAAATGACGTGTTCTCGCGGAAACTACTTGGAATATTTGGATAAATTATAAGTTTTATGTCATTAAAGTAAGTTAGTAAATATAATATTGATTTTGGTAATTATTATTAGAGTTATTCCAATGTTACTAACTCGAACAGGAGATGAAAAAATATAAAATTACATAAATTTCAGGGCTACCAACTCCTATATAAAATTATGCATAAATAATCACTATATTTGTGTAATTGTTGTCATCTTGACAACCCTATAAATACCTGTCTGTCTGTATGTGTGGGCGTTTCCTTGTCTATCCGTTCATAGTGTGTTTCTATATCTCCCAATACTCCTAGTAAAGCGGCCCATACATCCCCCCTTACAAGAGGGGGGATATCGATTTCAGCTTCCGATCTTATACATTGCGCTGTATACGGATAACCCTACAAAAGAACAAATCATATTAATTATTACACAGAATGCTTAAAAATAGAGACTGCTGTATTAAATATATTTGTTTTGTTTAATATCTTTATACATTACATGCAGTAGCCTCTGGAACCACAGTAGTCTGTAGAATTGATATTCAGTATCGCGTTCCCTTATGATCTTTGGTAAAGCCATTGCTTCGTAATCTCTCCTCCTTTCATGCATCAGTGGATAGAAATCGCTCGGTGGTATATGACTGAGGCGATTTTTCAATAAATCCAAGCTATATTTAGCGATGCGTCGGTCAAACAACGCTCCGGTCTTACCGCCTATTGTGGGACCATCTAACAGAATTGCGCTGTAAAAAAATGCTTTATTAGAAAACAAAATTGTTATTATTTGTTAATAAGAGAAATTGAAAGTTATATATTTATTTATCCTACTAATATTATAATTGCGAAAGTTTGTGAGTGTGTGTGTATGTTTGTTACTTCTTCACGCTCAAACGGCTGAACCGATTTTGATAAAATTTTGTATAGATGAAGCTTACGTACACATAGGCTACTTTACATCCCGTAAATCCCTGAAATCCGCGGGTAACACCGCGGGGCGCTGCTAGTTATGATATAATAGCAAAATAACCACTCAAATTCCCTTTAAAGTTTTTGAGTAAGTCACAATCAAGCATATTCATTTACTAACAAACAGATACGATATCCCAAAACAACTATTTCAGTTAAGAATATCTTTTCTTGTCTATGGTAAGTTGTACCCAAATATAATTTTACTCACATGGGCATAGACAATATAGGTGGACTATTTTTAATGAGCCCACTTTTCTTCAATTCTGCCTGAATATCCCCACCAGCCAATTGCCACCAGTGATAAAGATATTGCAACTTGCAACCCATTAAACCTCTAACCGGTTTAATTTCTGAAGGTGTCCGTGTGTTCATGCTAGATAGTTCAGAATGTAAATCTTTAAATGTTGCTCTTTCAGATGGATATATTTTGAGACATTTTTCTATTATGCCCCTTATATTTTCTGGTATTTCCTGAAAATTACATATATTAATAGAATTTAGAGAGACTCTTATAAGTAGGAAAGCAATAAAAGGAGTCCAATATTATGAAGATTGCAGGAAAAAATCATGACCGTCATGAATTTGTTTTGAATTATAAATTTAAGTATGAACATTGCTTTTATATCAAAATCTTATTTATATGAAGAAAAATATGTTGAAATTTCATCAAACTAACATTCAAAATATATTTTCTAAGTCATTTTAATCATATGAAGCACCTTGTATGCATCAAGAGCATAATGTTCTCTAGCAATTCTCTCAGCGGGATTATTACTATGAACCAGAGTGAGGATTCTTCTCATTGTTGGACTAGGTTTCAAATTATTCCATAATTTTCCGATACATAGCTCCAGAATTATTATACCAAATGCCCAAACATCTGCTGAAGGGCCACCTCCGCCAATAATAGCTTCGGGACTGAAATACCGAGGCAGGCTGAAAGATTATAAGTTATTAGTCAATTTGAATTCAAATTCATTCTTATTGTATAAAGAAATTTAACCATTGGTGATAATAAATACAGTAGAGTTTACAAAAATACTTTACCTCAAAGCAAAAAATAGATATAGATATTAAAATTCAAGCAAATAATAAGTACTAACTTTGTTATGAAAATAAATGTATTTTTCATATCTTTAACATAGATAAAAAATCTTAGAAGAAATAGTATTCTTTAAAACTAAAATGTTTGAATAGTAACTTGACTGGGTGGATTTGTAAATAAATACTCACCCAAGAGGAAAAGGTACTTCTTTTCCCTCATTGGTCATATAATACATGCCGTAATGGAATAACTTCACTCTACCGTTACTATCAAGAAGAATATTATCATCACTCAGAGTTCTATGTATTATGTTTCCATCATGAAGCAATTTCATACCACAAGCCACTTGAGTAGCAATATTAATAATTTCCTCATAGGAAAATTTCGTAGTATATTCTGCAAGAGCCTTGCCAATCACTTCTGCAACTACTATAATTCTTTCTAAAATTGTATAATATTAATGAATATTTGACATTTAAATAACAAAAATTATAAAAAAATTGATATTATATAGCTAACCATGTTTCCCTCTAATGATATCAAGATAAGTGCACAGATTCGGATGTTCAATTTGTAGGAGGCGTTGAGAACGCCCCAAAATAGTTATCGAACTAGGAGTTAATGGTAAACCGTTGCTACCACAAGTTTCACCGGGATGGTTCTTGGCAAAGAATGTACTAGCAGCAAATTTGTAATCGTCCTCCATATTTTTTAATATCAATTTGTAATATACACAATAATCACTAACAATTTCTTCCTTCAATTTTAGCGGAAGTTTAACTATTAACACTACCTAGCAATTATATATTTTTAATACTGTCATATTATAAAATCCAATAGCTAATTAAATCTGTATAATTGTATGATTTTTGTTTTATACATATATTAATAAGAATGGAAACAGCTGAGATTTCTAAAGCAAAGTAAATAATAATCAAACTTCAAAGTCTAAGTTTTCAATTTTCAAACAAAAACATGAATGTTGCCATTACACAATAGTAAACGTTTTGAGAAACTACGAGGTTCTTTACTGCTGAAAATCTAGAAGACTATTAGGAAAAGAACTATAGTACCGATTGGTGGTTAATCTTTCACTTAGGCTACCAAAGTTCTTGTTCCAAGCCCCAAGGCACGAGAACTAAAATATCCTTAAGTAAAAACTTATCATTGGCGCTTTTATAATGCTTTTGATATGGTTGTCTATAAAAAAACTCTTATCTCAGCTTTCGCTTTGGTAAGATGGGAAAATAGTTTCTGCTAAATGATTATCCTATCCTATAAACAATATACGCTGTTAGAAGATGAAGAAAGCTAAAGGTGTCTTCGGAATCAACAGAGATAAATGAAAGAACTTTTTGTGACACTTAATTAAAAAGTTAAAACAATAATTGGCAATCTACATAAACACTTGTCTAATTGTTGGAAATATTAATGGCTCAAATAGTATTATTTATCTTATAAGATACCAAAACGCCTTTGGCAATAATGTATGTACTAACACTGATTATTATACAATAATAAAAAGTTTATAAACAATTATTCGAATACTCAGTTCAAAAATGCAATACAAGGCGCTAAAACGCTATTAAAAAAACTGATTTGTAAATACATATGTTTGGCAACACGTTTGTCCTATTTCTTAGCAGAAGTTAATAAAGCAAACGTTTTTATAATATTATCAATTTCACGGCACACTTTTGTAATATGTAAAGCCATCAATTAACTTCCTCTATTCAAGGATGTGCCTTCCTATTCCTCTATTCAAATTAATCACAAAAAATTATATCTACGTTAAAATTATTAACCATGTTTGATATCGTAATGTAGTTTTTGTAAATGAAATCAAGGTAGACGAAACTTCTCAGCATTCCATGGAATCACCGTGCAGTTGCGGGGTCCATCGCATTAAACTCATATACAAAACCAAACAAACAAAAATTGTCAAATTTATATTTTTCCTAAATATTTTTGATCAGACTTACTTATAATCTTTTTTAAATTTTTCCTACTTGGTGGTTTAATAGTGTTTGAATATATATTCAATGTATTAAAGCGTTACAGTAAATATGTGAACTTTTAATAAGAAAGGAAATTAGATTTTTATATAAGATATAGATATACTTTTGGCACTATTAGCATTAGAATCAATATATTTTGTACATACTTTTTATTTTTTATCTGTTATTGCAAGTGCAAATTGTCTATGTTCCAATATGCCATCGAGTGTTCACATTTTATTTATTAGTTATAACATTATATTTAATACTCCTTAATGGTAATATATTCTAATGAAAATATTTAGTACGAATAATAATTATTAAAAATTGTTATTCACTTTCATGTTTGACAACGGTCCTATGAAAGAATACTAAATAAGTGCTTCCTTAATTTTATCAAAATGGCTTGTGATAACTTAATAAATTCGAATGCTGATTCTGAAATGGAAGAAGGAGAGATAGTCGACGAATTAGATGAGTTGTCTGACATATCCTCAGAAGAGGAGTTCCTGTTGCGGCAACGTTTGCAGGTTTTGGAGAATTACAATAATGTATTGGAAAGGAAAGAAGCCAAAAGGACCTCGATTGGACCAGGTACGTATGTTCGTGAAATAAAATTCTTATGTAATAATATAATTTCTAGAATAACAAAGCGTTATTAGTATTCTCGTCTTGTTTTATATATTTATATTGTATAAATCCTTCTATACAATATTGTTTCCATTTGTAAATTAATTACTCACTTTCTGCACATACTACGTAACAAAATAACTATTAAAATGTCCTATAATTCATCACAATAACAAATAATTTTTACTATCCAAGTATCAAATGTATTATTTAGTTTATTATTTATAAAATTTAATTTCTGTAATTATTAAGTTTATGTGTATAAATCTAAAGTTTGTGTATGTATATTTATATAGTATATAAGCAAGATTTTATTAAAAATTATTCTTATAACATTTGGGTTTTGTAGAACTTTAACTTCATGTTCAATAATTTTTAGTTCTAAAGATAGCAAATTTATATATAATACTTAATCACGATTTATAAGTTTATTATTTATTCACTGTTCATTATAGGTTTTGCAAGAAAAAAAATAATGTCATTATGTTCAGTATTATTTCTTTTAATTCTTAAAAATTACAGCATATTGATTGAAAATATTTGTTAAAACATATTATATATGATAACATAAAAAATAATGCTTTTGAATGGTCCAAATGTCTAAAGCTAATGATTTGTTATTATAAAGTCATACTTCAAATAAGAAAGAACAGTATGCAATGTGTATGAAAGATAATTCTGATGTTTGTGTGTGAAGTTCAAAATAAAAGATAGACAAAAAGTTGTAAGAACAAATTATTTTGCTGATAAACTTAGGAATATTATTCCTGGAATGAATTATATGGAAGAGCAGTAAGTATGGTTGTGGTAAAATAATATGAATGGAACAAGTAGCATCAAAAATGAAACTAATATTATTGGGATTACTCTAATATTTTATTATTTTAAAACTACATACTCCTGACATTTCAGTTAGTTTCAAAAACAATGATCACGGGCAGATGAGATATGTTTAATGAAATATGCATAGTAATCTGAATAATATTAGTTTCATTTAAATGAATACTGGTGAAAGAAGATCTCATTAAGTGGCATCAAATAAAAATAAATACAGAACAATAGGAAGTATGAGGACAATGTGTGAATGTATATTAGCATCTTATTTAATTTTTAACAAACCGTTTTGTTTGTTGATAACACTGGAAAACAGCATGTCTGTTGCATGAGATTTTTTACATGAATCTGAATAGTTTTTCCACACTTATTTCAAAAATATATGCCGTTTTTATGTAGCAGCTCTAGTTTTGGAGTTATGAAGAGACAGGGTTTTTCATTAAAAATGCACAAAATTTAAGTTTAAAAAATTATGAAATATGTTTATTCTGAATAAAATTTTCTTTTTGTGGATTTAATAGAGTGAGATGTATCATGAGTACTATTTTGAATGCTCCAATAATTACCAGCCATCATATATTCCTTCCAGTACCCCTGATACCTGTTCTCCATAGAGCGAATATCCTGTTGAACGCACTCTCCTTGTTCCTCGCTTAGGTCACCGAGATTGTCAGGAAAATAGTCTAGACGGTTCTGAAGATAGTGAAGCTTAATACTCATGTTGCATCCAAGCCGCTGGAAGTGTATCAGCAACTGTTCAACGTGCTGAATGTAGCCGTCCGACTTAATATTCTCAAAAAAATTCTCACTACACAAACAAACTCTTCCCATGCACATTTCTCAATAGCTGTCATACGGTTGACGAAATTTTTATCATCTATCAGCTTTTAGACAGGCCAAGGTCCCTGATCAAGTCATTTAGATCATCTTTATTTAGTAATCGGGGACTATTGTCTCTACCACTGTCGTCGTTTCGGTTTGTCCGCTGCAGTGGTCTGGATTTCCGAAGATCTACATGGCTGCTGTGGTGTTGATGTGTCACTCATACTCAAGACTGGTCTTACGACAGATTTTTAGTTTGAATATATCCACTTAGAGCAATCTTTATGGTTTATTCCTATGATTTTCGTTACACAAAAATAACAGTCGTTATGATGGTTGGGTGGTTCACGCCATATCATGGGAGATTTGTACTTAAAATTTGGTCTTTTTTTGTTTGCCTATAAACGCAAAGATTCAATACAACTTTTACACACCAAAATTGGTATCAAAAGTTTAGCGTTTGATGGCAACGGAAACCCAAAGACGTCGAAGTATGCTTTTTTTACAAAGTCTGAAACACTTAAACGACATTTTTGGAACATATATTATCCGCAAATAGCACAAAAACATTCAGGATTATTTAAACATGTCCTTCTTGAGGAAGACATAATGACATTTATAAAGGGACTAGTTAAGTTACACCCCTATTGGTAGAAACTATTGACAACTTATGTAAATTCAAGTCAGACCTGTATCTGACTAACTAGAGCTGCTACAAAAAATCTGAGGTCAGATTTAGAATTAGCGCACCCAAATTAGTAAACAACAGTAGAAAAACTTCATGCAACAAAAAAAAAGTTTGATTTTGTTGTGCTGTGTAATCAATAGAGCCATTTGTACCAGATAACTGTTATACAATGTTTTAGATGATCTTTTCATGAAGAGGAACATATAGATCTCACCAGAAAATGTATTTACAGTTACTTTGATAGACATATAATGCTCTGTTTTAAGGAAGTAACACCATAACTCTTTTGTTATTGAGACAAATGATGTTGATTTCTTAAACTATGAAAATGTAGGAGAGAAAAACAGACTGATGTATCAGAAATAAGAGGTGTAAGATCAATTAGGGTTTGTGACTGTTTGGGAAAGAATGTGTCATTTTTCATTTCCTCAAAACCTACCTAAGATTTGTAATTAAATATGATGGTAGTTGTTTAAGACTAAAATACTTTAAATTCAGTACTGAAGACCAATTTGCAACTATTATGGTTGTAAATTTAAATATGTCAATTTTCTAGATCTAGGGGTTTGGTTATTTATCACGATTTTTAATGTTTATTAACATATTAGAAATATAGCCTTTAAAAATTAATGGCATAATCTAAAAAGATGAATAATTATTCCTACAACTGGGTGGTAATACAATTCTATGAAACAAGTTATTGCGGTATTCATTCATTCATTTCATTTACTTGGTTTTTTGTTTTCTAAGGCAACTGTGAATTTATGCAGGATTTTGACCAGAATATTAAGTCAGTATAGTTAAAATCATGATGACCACGACCGTTCTGCCAAGAACGTATCGACTTAGAAGAAGAATAGTTAAAATTCTTAGCCATTATATGTTGCCCCAGTTTGCTCCACAAATATTATTAGTCATGTATAAAATATATATACATTATGTTAATAAATATAAAACCGTCATCATATGTATTAACCTAATCACCACAAACGATTTTTGGTAAAAAAGATAAGTATGAGGATGTATGTGGGTAATAATGAGAATTAATTAGGTATAGAGTGAATGTATTGAAGGTAGTTTAATGGGGCCCTATTGGAAGAACAGTAAAGACACAGTACTCAAGAGGAATAGTATCAGTATAGATATTGAGAGTTATATAACAGAGATATATAGAAGAATAGAATGTAGTATGTTAGGTGATGACTGACAGAGACATGAAAGTAGATAACATTGTAAAAACACCAATTTTTTCTTAGTTTAGAAACAATATTGTGGTTTTAGGTAAAAGTCATAGAAGAGTAGAAGCAAGTTATGATCAATATGAAATTTCTGGTACAGATGCCGATGATGGTTTTCCAAACTTAAAATATAGGATAACTAAAGAGCACAAACAAACTAGATTACATAGACAAAAGAAAATTAAACAAACAGAAAATGTACGGTACAGAGAGAGTAAGAAGAAAGGACAAAGAAAGAAGAAGATTGATGTTAAAAGTAACTCAGATACAAGTGATATATCTGATGATGAATATAAGAATAAGAGGCGGAAGCTGGCTGACGCGGTCACCTTGAATAAAGCTAAGAATGACACAACAACACTCAAAGATCGAATCAATCGTATGCTCTGTGTATCGAGGACTGAAAACCATATCATTAATATAAATAATAACACAGTGGAAGGAATTAAATTGGAAAATAAGAAAGATAAACTCGAAAACAAGCAACAAGAGAATATTAAAGTAACAGAAGAGTCCACCAATAATACGAAAACTTCTGAATTAATAGACTTATGTACTGACGATTCAAATTTGGTTTCTATAAGCGGTGTTGACACTGTCGACTCGGTAACAGAAAAAACTGAAGGAAACTCTGACGAGGATTTAGAAATATTAAGGCAGCATGCTCTTAAAACTAAGAGCAAAGCAACAGAAAAAACTAATACCAATAAAGATATTTCTGAAAATAAACAACATATATCAGAAGACGAGGACAGTGATACCGCGGAGCTTCGGCTAATTTGTTTGAAATCAGCATTACTAAAGAAAGCCATAGAAATGAAAAGAAAACAGAAATTACAGAAGCGATTATCCCAATCAGTGGGTGATAATTTCGATGTGGAAAGCGATAACGAAATTAATATTGACAATAACACTGATGTGGAATCAGTTGATATGGATATAGGTTCTGATGCTGAAGATAAAGGAAAAATCACCGATTGTAACCACGAAAACGGCAACCAGAACATTCTAGAAGATAATTCATGTAAAAAGAAACCTCACAAAGACGATGAACTAGAGGAAGATGAAGATCTATTGAGAGCGAAACTATTGACGTCCTTAAGTAAAAACTTACCAAACTTATTGAATATCAATGTGCTAAATACCGCTCTAGACGGTACGGAAACTAAGAAAGAATCTGTTAAAGATATCAAAAGTAATGTAATAAAAGATATTAAGAGTAATAAAATCAAAGATGCCCCATCTATAGCAGTGCCAGAAGAAAAGAAATTCGTTATACAGCTAGGTGATTCAGATTCAGAGGGCGAGCATGAAGCGACCAAGAATTTAACTAAAATGCACCTAAAACTGTCCGAACAAGCGGAGTTTCAGATGAAATTAGATAATTTATTGAAGTCAGTTAGAAATAAGACCGAGGAAACATCGTTACCTGATGTAGTACAGCAACCAGTTAGACCGCCACATAAGTTTGTCGCTAAGGTAATATTTGAAAACGTATTGTGAGAAGTTTTGTTGCTAATAATATGAGTTATTGTTACGTCAAAACATTTACATAGCAATTGAATAAACTTAGACTCAGTGCCCTTTTTCTTAATTATTGTTTAGCTTATATATAATTCATCCAATTAATAAAAATTCTCCCAAAAGTCATAGCGTCATTTTTAGGCTTATGCCTTTATAAGCCTAACATGATTTGAGTTTCTATATAGATAGTCAAATTGAGTTTTTATTCATACTTTTATTTATTTAATTTTGAGGCTAGGACTTTATTACAGTTTGGATTTCAAAAGCAAATAAAATATGTATTTATCAGTAAAAGTATCTGATGTATTAATATTGACCTATGCACCGTTAATTTACAGGCAATGAATCATCTACCAAAGTCTGAACAAATAGAATACAGGAATCTAGTTAAGAGAATGGCTGAATTAGAAAAAATTAAGCAAGCTAGACAAATAACTAATAATCAAATGACCAAAGACACTCTCAAACCACGCAACATATCTATAGATCCAAGAAAAACAATCCCGAACAAGAACATTGAAGATAAAATAGCGTTATCCAGGTAAATATATATAATACAAAAGAGATATACTTTATTAATTCTTCATATTAAAATTGATTATTACAGAAAAAAAATCGCCGAAGAATCTTCAAAAATATTCAGACTAAAAGAGGAGGCTAAGAAATTGTCCCAAAGGTATAAAATAGTGTCTACGGAACTACGTAACATTACCACAGCTATCACAATAAATAAGAAACATCAGAAAACAGTACAGGATAGTTTGACCAAGATAAGACTGCAACATCAGATGCTTTTACGACAAGGGTATGTAATATTATTGTTCATATATATACCAATTTGATTTATACGTAACTCTGGTAAAACGATTTCAGCATCGAAAAACATTCCAACCAAATACCACCGAGGACAAACAAGATAACAACGAAGCTACAGAAAGAAAATGATCCCAATAAAGAAGATTATAAAGTCGAAAATAACTTGAAAGCGCTCAAAGTCAGCGTTGTGAATGATCTTAATAAAGAGATCGCGTTACCGAAATTATCGGTGCAGTTAGACGTTAATACTAACAAGAAGAATGTAAAACTACCCTCTCCTACCAAGGAAAGAGTTGTTGATTACAATGACGTCACGACAGAAGATAGAGTGAGCGAGACAGATATACACAAGAGATTAAAGTGCGAAGAGACGAGAAACCAAGAGATTGCCGGAGCTAATGACTATGTGTCACCGCTTAACTCATTGGAGTGTAAAAAGTGAGAATTTTACATATATTTAATTGATGTATATATATCGGGATGGTTTAGTTAAGTATTAACAGCTGATCGTACCTTAGGGCAGTGACCGATGACCGGTGTAAAGCGATGTGAGTATGTATAGGAACTGTCCGTGAGCTAAATTCTGATGTTTCTATAGCTGTGGATATTTTTACAGCTGGAAGGATCCCAATGGTGTATTTTGCCGCTTCGAAGTTGGAGGAAGTTGCAGGGACCCCGACTGCAAATACTACCACCCAGACACACCCTCGCAGAAATGACATCACATATACACTTATTACACTATGCCACAGACACAGACATATACACACACACACAGACACACACACACACACAGACATAAATAACACACCCGTCTGTCCCAACAACGACTCGGACCTCCATTATGTGTAAAGTATTTATGTAGATTAATTCTATATAATTATTCTGCATGCCTATTTATGAAATTATCACCTAATTTAGAATTTTTTGCCTAACGCTTTGATCTCACATACATATTATAACTAATCACGTCACTATGTTTAGTACTCAGTTTGTTTTAAACGCACCTCATGGTTCATTTTAATTTGGTTATTTATCATTTGACCATACAATTCTAGTTGCTGCAAGGAGCTGTGTCGACATGGCAGGAGTGGTAAGTTGAGAACTTTTAACATAGTGATAATTGTGATGAATGCTCGTGTAACTTGAACCAGATTAATGGTAATATGGATTCCTCATAGACTATACGACACAAAAGTTAATATTAATATGTAAAAAATGTAAAATAAATAAATAGTTACTAAATAAAAGTAAATTATTGTTAAATTGTCTTTCATTCTTCCTATGAAGTGAAACCCTTTTATATAAAGAGACGATTTATTCAGACATTGTAAAATAAAATATTTCCATCACACTGATACACTTATATAGACAAAAATACGTATATTAATGGATCAAATTCGATATAATAATAAATCTTATAAACAGAGATCACCGTAATGACTAGACAATAGATACATCAGGAGATATACACCGAAGGGCAACTGTGGGCGTAGAACTTATCTATTGGACAAAAATACACAAATAAAAATATATAGTTATATCTTAAATTTAAAATCTCAAAAATTCATAAGAATTGTTTGCTGTTTTAGAAGCTCAAATATTTAATACATTGATATATAAAGGCCGATTATTAGTCGATGAATTGTTCATATTGAAGTATCAATGAGGAAGTAGCCCACAGTCAGGACGTTCACTAAGTTACAAGAACAGGGCAGACTATTATAGTGCGTTTGATTTAAGCTTAGCTTTGCATTTGTGTGACTGCACACGGATAGTGTAGGTGTGATGTCAAATTTTCGAATGCCACGGCCTTTTCGAGGTTTGAACCGGTTTATACTGCTTTTACTACACAAATGCCAAGCTCAGCTTAAATCTAACGGATTATACAACATGATTTACAAACATTTGTCGTAGTTAATACAAATTCAAAATCAGAATGATTGTAACGACGCGTTCGTAATCAAATATTATATAATCTATCCGTGAATAAATATGTAGTACAGATAATACCTAAGTGTATGTAGGTTAAGTAAAATTTAAATCACACTTACAACAGTCAGTTTAAAACTGGTAGCTATTAATATTATATTGATTTATTATTTTAAAGATATGATTTATGGCCGTTATTTAACAAATTCGTTATAATTATCTAGTTTATGATAAATTTATTTTAGGCTCTGGCGTTATGAAATATATTTTTTTATGAAAACATTTAAAAAATACTAAATACATGGGTTCACAAATACTGTATCCATATCGAATAATATATTAAGACGTAGGTTAAGACACATTCACATAGACTATTCAGTTACTAGAGACTGACGTTTGACAGTTGTTAGACAGATTAAAAATGACAGTTTATGTGCGAGCAGGATAGGTTGTGCCATAGATGTGCGTAGATCGATTGTCTATGGTTTATCTGAGGGTGTGCCACATGGCGACGGCTTTTCGTGTTTCTTGCGCCATTTGAGCCCAGTGGCGACCCTCGGCCGCTGGTTCAGCGGCTCCCACGCAGCACCAACCAACCACGAGGCCGCTACCACCGCCAGTTACAACACATACCTGATAATTTGACAGTTATAAAATATTCAAATTAATATTTGACAGATTTCAAAGTCCATCATAGATTATATATTAACTGTCATACAAATCTATAGAGTGAATGTTAAAAAATCTTTACAAGTAAATTACACCTTCTGTAATTCAACCAGAAATAGTAATCATAATACTTTTATTTCTTTTATTGACTTATATTTTATTATAATTTTAAACATCAATTTAAAAATTCTCACCTCAATAGAAGCTTCTTGTAAGTTACTTGAAGGAAGACTGAAAGATAAAGCTTCGTTCCATATGGGGTTATTGATTTCCTTACGGTTAGTCTTCTTCTTCTTCACGCGTTTCCCATTAACAAGAAGGTATACTTTCACGTAAACATCTAGAAAAAGGGTTATTCTGTATTCATGATTAATGCGAAATAAATAAAAAGGCTGATAAGAATAATAAAAGCTATAGTTAGATACGTAAGCCAATAGAGATTTTAATTTCTTATGATATAAAGCAACGGAAATCATAATTAGAATGTTTTAGTATTTTATGCGCGTTGCCCAAAAGGCTGAGTTTAGAAATGTTAGCCCGTTACCGCTGCCGTTAACTAAAGTTTACCGTACCCAAAGCATCTTTTCCTTCTTGAGGCGGAAGAAGATTCCTAGCCTTCAGTACTACAACAGTAAGACGTTCAGCCGAGGGTAGGAAAGACAGAGAGAGTAACAGTTCTTGAAGTTCTTCAGGCGGGCGACGCTCGCGGGATAACTCTGCCCAAACCTCCGCGCCACCTGCGACCTCCACACGTGAAAGAGGGACCTTGGCCGAGCCCATCACTTCGTTTCTGGAGAACCTGGAAAACAAATTAATTCATTAAATATAATGGAGTGTTTGGAACGTCCGTCGAAGGCAGCCCTAGTAGGTTCTTTTCAAATTTGGTTAGGTAGAGAGAGGAGCTTGAACAGTGGAGGTGAGCGTATAACGCGCGTTAGATAGACTCCCCTTAAACCTACACTTGGGTCACAAGTCCCAGGCACTGTTGAAGCTCCTCTCCCTGCAACGATGGACCCGGCACCCGCACGGTGAATCCATTGAATGCTAAGAGGTTTCGTCTCTTTTTGAATTCGACCAAAACATATTATGTCAGGAAGACATAGGGAACGATTCTAAGTATTCATTGAAATAAAACTAATACTTTTCGTATTTACTACGCTTTCATGATTTTTAAAAACACACTCCCGACGTTTCGTTTACTTTGCAGCAACCGTGTTCACATCTCGTCTGTCCGTGATTCCGGTTGTTGCAAAGTAAAGTAAACATCGGGAGTATGTTGTTAAAAATAATTAATTAATAAACACGTAGAAATAAGTAAATTGAATTATTATTTTTATAATTTGGTATATATTTTTCATTTTCGACTGCTAACGCTAGAAATAAAAAGTTCTAGCTAACGCTAGAAATAAAAAGTTTGGGAGTCTCATTGGAAAAGGGAGTAACATTAAACTTTATTTATAATCTGTGGCGCTAAATTATTGAATACCTATACTTACTTATATTTGACATCAAAATAGTACCGTACCTATGAGGAAAGAGATAGTGCTAGATAAAAAGCATAGGCCATCTCTCTCACTCTTTTCAAACCAAAAAATTACTGCAGATTATACGCGTACGGCATGTCCATTAGTATAAGTCGATGTTTGACATGTTGGTTAAATGATAATTCTTATAAAAGAGTATGTCTGTTTTAAATAATCACCTGTCATAATCAAACACCTGAAGCAATAATGTTTTGTCAGTGAGGTCATCGTGTGATACTGGAAACTTGAAGTGCTGGTCAAAAAATGGATTGGCTTCATTCCTGTGCACTGGCGTCTGTCTAACTCGAGTGTCGACTTCGGGTAACAAACTCACTCTTACATACGGATCATTAAAACCTCCAGCCTCATATCCGGCCAGATCATGAGCTAAAATTAATAAAAATATTGTTTTTTATATTACAAGCATTACACTCGATCTCCAAAGGTCAATAAACTTTACTCAATCTAATGCTCGAATAAAAGAAAATCGATAAAGCACACTTCATGTTTATAAAAAAGGTTATTAAGGGATTACAGTTATAAATATTAAAATATTTAAATTCCATCACGCATGGAGTAACCGAGTCATTGAATAAACAACGCCTGAACAAATATTGTTTACGCTTAATTTTTCATAACGCGGTTTAAATGGATTTTAGTGGATTAACGTGGTTTTTGTTCACTTACGTGTATACATCGGATGGATGGATAATACACGGATTATTTATATAATAAACTCGTATTACCGATACGGATATTGATTTAAGATTATGTGGGGAGAAATCTTTTTTTTGCTAGTTAATACTCACCTTCTATCAAATGTACTTCAAGGTCGGATCTGTCGAAGTCGTATTTTAAGCGTAAGTGAATTCTTCCTAGTGAGGGGCCGACGCCCTCTAATTCGATAACCAAAGGAGTTTCTCTTTTAGTATATAGATCTGGTTGTAGGGCTCCTAAAGAACTAATCGCGGTGCTGGCTCCGGGACTCAAGGGTGCTCCACTGCTGTTCTCAACTAAAGAGTTGCTTCGGTCTATTCGTCTGAAAAGAAAAATATATACTTTTTTTATAATGTACTAGCAAAAACATTCACTTCAAACTCTGTTACCGCAAACAAATCTTCCCGTTATATCAATTAATGACATAGAAACTAATGTTTAATTTTATACATACAAATTTAATGTTCATCGTTCAATTTTAATCCTTAATCCATATAACGCCATTACAGCAACACTTAATAAATAAAATTAGGTCCTCGCTTTGTAATGGCAACATTAATATTGTATCTGTGGCTTGTTGTGGAATATTCCGAAGCATTAATATCATAGATCTGTCATCCGTGTGTCGTATATTATTTAATAATTCAAAGAACATTACCCCAGAGCGTGTTGACAGTATAGTTCAGAGTGAATTTGATTCATTATTAAAAATGATGTTTACAACACAAATATGGTGAAACAGAAATCAGAACGAAATATGGCGACTGATATATAAAATTGTTTTAAGTATTTCGTTGTTTTATTACAAAATCAATTATTGTTACATACGTTATAAATTTTTCAACATGTTTCAAGTTTAAATCCTTTTATCTCTGTTATCTTTTGATTTGATTAAAAGTTTATATATAATTTTGTGTTTTTTTATTTTATTTTTAGTTGAAAAGTATTCCTTTAAAACTTTCATGCATTTAAATAATTGTTCGCACTTTCCACTACAGAAGATGTGGTTTCAAATCTCGGAATTTCCACAGATAAAACTTGAGTTTTATTCATGATTGTGGACGAATATTTATGTATGAGTTGCTTAGTTACAAATTAAACCTATACTAAGGGTTCATGCATACAAATTTTACTTACATGATGTCAGTGAAATATTCATGAAGTGAGAACGTGAATAAAAAATGCATTTCTCTAAGTCAGGCATTATTTGACACTACATGCAGGGATAGCATATACATTCTTAAGCTCGTATTACAATTTAGTAAAGATGGCCTGTTGATGCTGTAAGTAATGAGTTCGTAGTGCCAGAAGAAGGCTGGGTGCGCAAATTGTGTTAATATCAATTTGCTGGAGACACGCCCACTTGAGATTGATTCTTGGGGAGTATTCGCCTATCTCCCTCGATATTTGAAGCTATACGTAATGAAACTGAGAAGGGATTCTGAATTACACCAGCTAAAAGGGTTTATGAATAGTTTTATATGAAACGAGGAGATAAGGTTCAAGATTTGTTTAGTTTTCACTTAGAAACAAAACAAAAAAACATTAAATAACTACTAACATACACTGATACTGTCTAGATGATTTAAATACTCAATATAAAATTAAATAAAATGTTCTAATTAAAAGTGCAAACGTAAATATATATAATAATATAAAGTATATACAAGTAATAAAATTATCTTAAACAGATTAAAAAACATGTTTTATTTGCTTTCTCCTTTAAAGATTATATATTAAGAAAAGTTATTAGTATGTAGTAACTAAAGAAATAGCTTGAGTTATGCATTTTTTATGTATCAATAAGTCTTGTTTCCGATTTTATTTCATTTTTTCTTTTAAATGTCAACTTTACTTACAAAAAAAAACGAAAAAAACGACTGACACTGTTTTCTTATGAATTTAAAATAAAATAATCACAAATATATTATATATATCTTTTGTACATCTTTTCGTTATTTAGTTACTCGCATCATTTCAATTATATTATGGTAGCCCTAGATATATCTTCGTTGATTATTGACAGTGTTGACATTAGACGACTGTTTGTTGAAACTTGTCAGCTCTAATTTCTTGCTAGAGCGATTTATTAGTATAGTGGTTCTTTAAAATCTTTTAAAAGTAACGAAAAAACATATTTATTTTAAACGATTGCCTGAAATGTTTCTTAAATGGCTTTAAACTTTAATTCTTATGTTTCGAGTGTAGTTTATAATTAATGAACACTGTATAATTTGGTTTGAACACGTATTAGGACGATTTTGATTTACTATTGTTTGTTGTATAATTTAATAATGTTATATTAAATACTATACAGCTTTTCACTGTAATAAATTACAGATCGATAATTGAGAAACTTTGTAATTCTATATTAAGATTGTATAGCAGCGTCGATCGTTAATAATTAGAGGATATTGAAAAACATTGTTACACTTGACGCTTTTCCTGTTTCCGATTATTAAATTTCTCACAGCTTGAAGGTAACGTGTTAACGGAGATTGAAATGTGCACCCTCTTGAAGAACCTCTTCTACTATCTATCTATTTTGGAATATATTGCAGGCAATTTGGCACCTTAATTCATTTAAATAAGGTTCATAATAATAATGTTTATACAATAAAATATATACTTTTAAATAAGAACTAGCTTTCCACCCGCAGCTTCTCCCACGTGGAGTCCGGTTATATCGCGTTTCCAAGAGAACCTTTCAAAAGTCTGGAATAAAAAATATCCCATGTTCTTTCTCAAGGTCAACTCCATCTCTGTACCAAATTTCATCAAAATCAGTTCAGTGGTTTAGGCGTGAAAGCATTTTTCATTGTTTATCCCCCGCAACCCCCCTTGTGGGTGGAATTTCGTAAAATCCGTTCTTAGCTGACCTATACTCGGCGAAAGGAATAATCCTACCAAATTTCAAGTCGCTACGCGTTATTGTTCTAGAGATATCGTGATGAGTCAATATACAGGGTGACTGGTGAATTACTATCAATATTTAAGGAGAATACTCGGTACATGATTCTCATTCGAATTATGTAAAAAAAATAGGCACTTAATTTTTGACAAAATTTCCGTATAAATAAATAAAGTGTTGACACGTTCCAAGTGTTCCAAGTTAGGACGCGTGCGGCGGCGTGCTGATACAACACTACGCCGCCAAACGCGTATGTGTGAGTGTGTGTGAATACCTAATCTGTAGGGTGTTCACTCGATGCGTAATTAATTACATAACTTTTGATTAATTTTACTTAGAAGTTTATTAATATTTATGTTATATTAATTTTTATTTTGTCATATATGATCGTCAAATATCACGTCCTCAAATATCGATAGTAATTCACCAGTCACCCTGTATAGGTGGAAATCTCTTGTACATATATAGATTAAGATATCTTACCGTGGCGGCATAAGTAGGGGGGAAAGGCATCTTGGAGGTATGTGTCTCGGGCTTGGTGGTGCTTGGGAATCAGCCAATGAAGCCAAGGAGCCGAGGGGAGCTGCTCTGACGTCAAGAGACGCTGCTCTCAACGGTGAAGGAGATCTTGGCAAGCCAGATACTCCAGCCTCTAATGTCCGACCGTCCGGAGCAAAGGTCCTTATTGCTGGAGAAGAACCACGGTGACTCTGGAAATGAGATAAATATTTTGTAACATGTTCAGAGTTTTTGTGTTATCATATAAAAAATCAGTTTGTGTACTTCCCTACTAATATTATAAATGGGAAAGTAACTCTGTCTGTCGGTCTGTCTGTTACGCTTTTACGCCTAAATCACTAAACTGATTTTAATGAAATTTGGTACAGAGATAGAGTTGACCTCGAGAAAGAACATAGAATAGTTTTTATCCCAGATTGTTGAAAGGTTCTCTTGGAAACGCGATATAACCGAACTCCCAGCGGGCGAAGCTGCGGGCGGAAAGCTAGTTTTATATTACGCTATTATGAGAGACAATGAATTGTAATTCATACTATTGTATTAAAACTTTTATAATATCGTTTTTGTCGCTATATCAAGTAGGCATGAAGTTTTATTGTAATAGAAACTGAATTTCTATTTTGCGAAAGTATAGATTCAAATCCAGCTTATGTTGAAAGAATTTTTCACCCAATATTTTCCAGTTTAATTCAAGTCTTAAGCCAAAATTTCTTTAAAGCTTAAGGAATAATTACATAAATATATTTAATTCTGAATCGACGAGATCCTAATTACTTAAAGAACTTAATCTTGAATTTGCCAATCAATACAGGGTGACTGGTGAATTACTATCAATATTTAAGGAGAATACTCGGTACATGATTCTCATTCGAATTATGTAAAAAAAAATAGGAACTTAATTTTTGACAAAATTTCCGTATAAATAAGTAAAGTGTTGACACGTTCCAAGTGTTCAAGTGTGGACGCGTGCGGCGACGTGTTGATACAACAACACGTCACGACACGCGTATGTGTGGGTGTCAGTGTATACCTAGTCTGTAGGGTGTTCATACGATGCGTAATTAATTACATAACTTTTGGTTAACTTTACTTAGAAGTTTATTAATATTTATGTTATATTAATTTTTATTTTGTCATATATGATCGTCAAATATCACGTCCTCAAATATCGATAGTAATTCACCAGTCACCCTGTATAATCGTGATCATTACTTTAAATTTTGAGCGTAAAAATGTTTTATCAATGTATAAAACTTATAATTGCAAATAAAATCCTTTGAAGCTACGTGTGGTGGTACAATTATATCATTGTGGTGGTCTTCAATGTAGTTTCTGATGAGTGTTCAACATAGGAACATAGTTGCTTGCGTGTTTATATAAACTCCATTACCGCTCACGATATCCGCGTGAACAATCACCACAAATAACATGAATAATAAAAATATCACTCCAATATCTTTTGTTCAGGATAATAAATACATTAATGTCCAATTTATTTGTTCAAATATTGTATTGTTGTGCATTAATAGACTTAGGAGTTCGAACAATTCTGTTTCAAATGGTTGGTATTTTTTTGTTGTGTAGTATTATGGTATTTTTAATCCTTTTATACCAAAGGTCACTTTAGTGTACACTTTACACAGAAACTGATAAAATTTCGAATGTGATAGTGTATAGTGCTTATTTGAATTTTAATTTAAGACACTTAATTTACAACTTTCATTTAAAAGTTGATGTGTGAAACCAATGGTTCTACTTTTCACAGCTATATACAGCTTTCGGATATGCAAATTTATTTCATGTTTTTTAAAGTTGTTGTAAGCAGTGGCGGCTGTACCTTAAGTGCACTCGTGCGCTGAACCACCAATTCAAAAGATTTAAAAATTACAAAATATTACTTCACCTTTATTTTTAAATTACCATTTTAATATTTATTTTTTAAATATACAAAAACGTATAAAAAATTAAATTTCTAATTATAGTCAAAAAGTTTGTGTGCTTTACTAAACTAATATCTCGTGCGCTTTGGCGAGTGCACGAGGACTGCTAATACATGTTGTATGAGATACGCATTAATACGCCTGACGCGTGAAACAAAAGATAGTTCATAGAAATGTACCGAGTAATGAGTCGGTTCTCGAGCGCCGCACGAGCGGCCGAAGATTACCGAGAGCACCCGATGTATGACGAATTGAGCCATGAGTGACATCTCGTTATGTTTTGTTGCATTTTCTAATTTTAATGTTTTAGTAAAGTGCACCGCCAGTTTTATAACCCACCAGCCGCCACTGGTTGTAAGTAGAGCCAATCGTTCTACTTTTCATAGCTAAAGTTCGGATATGTTTTACATTCTAACTGATTTTATGTCTTTTTTACAAAAGATTGGTTTTTAGAGGCTGGTCAAATTAATTAAGATTACTGTAGCGCTATCAAAAAGTATTAAAAACCTTTTATTACGAAAAATATTTTGTAAAACACAATAAAGCAAATGGTTTATAAGAATTTCAAGAGAAGCTTAGTGGTTACGCTTAATGTCACTTACTTCGGGATAAAGAAATTTAAACTTCAAGATTTTCCTTAAAATTTTACTCTTATTTATAGATATAATATTTTTTTAATCTATATATAAAATAAAGTTGTTTTAGTTACACTATTTATAACTTAAGATCGGTTGTATAGATATGGTTAAAAATTGGCGGGAAGATAGCTTAGAACTGGGATACGGACATAGGATATTTAATTCTATTCCATAAAAATAGAAAAATACTTATCAAATGCCAATATTTGGTTAACTATGGCTTCTAAGGCGGAATAGAGTTCGCCTGTTCAGTGATAAATACATATGTTACTTATTCCGAAATTAACGCGAACGAAGTCGCGGACAGAAACTAGTGAGATACTTATAAATTAGCTTATAAATAAATGTTGTTTAGTATGATTTTCTTATAAACTTTTCCAGGAAACTGATCTTGAAACGTATTTAGTTCATATTTCTATTAAGTATTCATAACATATGTATTTTTGTTTCTATGGAGATTACTTCAAGGAAATCTTCAAACGTGGAGAAATTCAATACAATTTTTCCATTTATTAGATTGTTCTACGTTTATGATATGAAATGTTATTTTTAAAACTAAATCAGTTTTGCATATTGCTTATCAATATTACTTTGATTTCATATGGAAAGGAAAATAACGCATTTTTACAAAATACATTTATTTTGGGGCAATGAGACGTTGAGATAAATTAAAAAGAAGCCTCACAAGAGGAATCGATTGGAAGAAGCCTTTTCATTATGTCAGTTGCTAATTATATGTGATCTTTCTCTTCGACCTGGAAATTTCCCAGATTTAGCCAGGGTCTGCCTTACATATTTTGAATAGTTTTGGCTAATTGTTTTTACGACCGGCCGCCTGCCTGACATCAACCCTCTTTGGGAATGCATTAATCAGTGATGTCTAAATACTCTTAGAAAGTACATATGACTCGGAAAAACATTGGTACTTGCCAGGATCGAACCCGCGCCCTCATGCATGAGAGGCGGGTCTTTTAACCACTAGGCCATCACTGACTAATATATCATATTTCCCTATTAAATAATATATTGTAGGCTTTTGGAATTAATCGTTCAAAAGGTTAATAAAACCGCTACTTAGCGGACGTATTTTTATTGCGACCACATTTACGATCGAGAGCGGAAACATTTCTCATTATCGATTCGTATTTCGATGGAATATTCTAATTTAAACTGTTCTCTAAAGCAATATAAAACGAATTATTTATTTATTATATATGTATATAATAATTACATCAATACTGATTATCTTCTAATATATAAAATTCTCGTGTCACAGTTTTCGTGCCCATACTCCTCCGAAACAACCTGACCGATTTTGATGAAATTTTTTGTGCTTATTCGGTAGCTATGAGAATCGGCCAACATCTATTTTTCATCCCCCTAAATGTTAGGGGTAGTCCACCCCTAAATTTTTTTTTTTATTTTTTAGACAAAATTTTTAATTACTATTTTTTTATGATACAACGTACAAAAATACATACAATCCTAAATTTTCACCCTTCTACGATCAACCCTTATTTTTTAATAGCTATTTTAGTAATTTAATCATTTTTCATCTCCGGTCGATAACTGATCAATCGTCATTTAATAAGTTATCCCCGCCAGATATCTACAGGTGTCACTTCTGACCCAGTAAACAGCACGGAGTAGGGATGAGAACGAAGCCGGTCTTCTGTTTCTCTCACACAATTAGACTTCTCTCACTCCCTACACAGTTGTCGGCCATCGTTATTGTTTGTGCATCAAGTGTAGTAGTAACGTTGACAATTATTATTTTGCTAGCTCAGTGTAACTCTCATATTAACTATTAATCATTCCTAATCACTTCAAAACACGGAGATTTATGGCTTTAATAGGTAAACTCCAAAAATATAAATAAAAAAACGTAACAGATATTTCTTGATTATAGGGCGAAACGAAGTTCGCCGGGTCTTCTAGTTGTTATTGTAAAAACTAGAACAACTATTACTTATAACGGCTTTTCTCTGATAATTACAATTACAATTTATTGATTTAAAGCCTGAATAAAATTTCAATAACAGCAAAATATATAACGATGCTTGAACAGGTTTATTTAAAATATTATTAACGACGTTCGAAAACATGAAAACAACTCAAACAGAATTAAAAATACACGATACATTACCAAGGGGAAACAAAAATGGCGTCATATGGTTCACTTTGATAAGTACTTTGTGCTAACCTCTCATAAATTGAGAGTTGTGACTAATTAAAAAACATATTTTACGTTTGTCGCTATAAAATAGCAACTACATTTTCTGCTTTTCAGGCCCTTTTCTTGTGAAATAAATTTAAGTAATCGAAAACTTAATTTCAATCAATTATATGCAAGTGATATTGTGATAAGTATATAAAAAAAAACTCCTAAATTAAAGAACAAATTCATCAGGTTAAATCTTTGGTTCTAATATAACTTTATTAAAAACTAGTTCTAATTTACATGGATTGTTTTACAAAGAAATTTACTTTCATTGAATACTCCATGTACACTCATACGATAGTTTTTTTTAAACCACGTCGTTATTTTGACGTCGTGGTAATGACAACATACTTCCGTGTCTCTGAGAGTGAAGTTTCGTTTTATCACATTATTCTTACTTATATTAAAGTTCTCAGTAACTACGTATGTACGTGTACTCTTTATATATACACATATATAATAGTATATGTTTAATAAAGTCAGTGGTGGCCTAGTGGTTAAAGGCCCGCCTCTCATGAGGGCGCGGGTTCGATCCTGGCAAGTACCAATGTGATTTTTCCAAGTCATATATATGTACTTTAAGGAAAACATCGTGATTAAACCTGGACGTATAATTTCACAATTATAAGTATGAAATCACCAACCCATCTTGAGCAAGCGTGGTGATGTTCAATGCTCAATGGCTTTGCTCAGCAGTGGGGTCTGATAGGCCGATGACGTAGTGTGTATTTAATATTTCCAGTTATAAATATTTATGAAAACATTAACTAAACTCACTTCTGGAGAGAACTGAATTTTATCAAACGAATAATACGTTTAAATATATAACATTTAGGTAACCGATTGAGTAAAATGTTTTCAATACTGCCGCATTTAAAACATCCAATACTTAACGTTAAAAAGTTTCGATACGCTTTAAATATTCAGGAAATTGCATTTTTGCTGCGATGTATTTTCAATTCCACCTGTCCTATATTCGTAAGGGTTCCATTTGATACAACATTTTCACTGTCTGCTTTAAACGTTTGTGAAACGAGATGAAATTAATATATACAGGTAATTTAATACAAGGATTTGGGAAGGAAATGTACATACATATGTGTATATGACCTACCTACCTTGAGTTTAAAGCGTCATATTTTTTGTAATACTGAAAAGTATTTATGTGTGATCTCTTTTGAATTTTATTTTATGATTTATTTATCGAGCTTTACAATAATTTATTCATAATTTTCTAGATAAAAATATACAAAGCTTTTGTAAAAAAAAAGTTATTTGTTTGATAAAAAAATCTCCAACCTTAAATGCCAACATAAAATAATTATTAAATAGCATTTTACTTATTATATAGGTATGTAAGTTTTAAACTTGTCTTCTATGATTTGTATTAATATGCTAATAATAGTTAAAAATTTCCGTAAACTCTATGAAGGTATGAATAGTCGTCATCAGCCTATCAGAGCCCCCTGCTGAGCAAAGGCCTCTTTCTCACATGGAGAAGGTTTGAGCATTAATCACCACGCTAGCTCAAGACGGGTTGATGATTGCGAACTTATAATTGTGAAATTATAAGTCCAGGTTTCCTCACGATGTGTTCCTTCACCGTATGTCAGTATGAATAGTATGTGAGCTTTATATTCATCTAGCTAGACTCAAGATTTTATATCCATTTAAGATATTTAAGTTCCATTTTCTCGTCAAGTTATAAAGAGTCTTTCAGATTAAGTGCATTAAATAACTTGTAGATTGCTAGAGATGAGACAAAATGATATACATACTTATAATTCATTCGAAATGGCAAATACCTCAGTTTATCTTTGATTTTGTTACGTTTGTCGTTTTCATTCTTTCTATCTATACTAATATTATAAAGCTGAAGAGTTTGTTTGTTTGTTTGTTTGTTTGTTTGAAAGCGCTAATCTCCGAAACTACTGCTTCGAATTGAATAATTCTTTTTGTGTTGGATAGTCCAGTTATCGAGGAAGGCTGTAAGCTATATAACATCACGCTACGACTAATAGAAGCAAAGATATAGTGGTAAATGTGTAAAAAACGGGAGAAAATATTTCATCTTTGAAGCCTTTCGTTGCGTGCGCCGCGAAAACGGTTCAAGATACACAAAAAATATGTATACAAGAATAATAGCTCTTTTAATGATCTAAAAAACAGTCCAGGACAGTATATGTCTATCTTTTAAGATTAACTCACAAAAATCGTTTTTATGGCACCTAATTTGGTCGAAATAATTTGTTTCAGTTGTATCAACATAATAATATTAATCTTAATTCAAATAAACAAATAAATATGTTGTTGGTTAAGAGTACTACATTGTGAATTTAAAAAAACATAGGTTTTATCCTGAAAATTCTACGGGAACTCGACCACTCCGAAAACCCCGCAAGAACGGGAACTATGTGGGAAGAACCAAAAATCTGCCGGAAGTCACTATTCCACGCGGACGGAGTCGCGGCAAAAGCTAGTAACATCAATAAGAATATTCCAAGTCGATAATGGAAATAAATTTTATTAAGTTTACTCACAGTGGCTCTTGATGTACCGCTGTCCAGGCTGCTCTGGGATGATATGGAAGGTGTTCTAGCGAGACGAGCGTGTGGTAGAGATGATGCGGACCTCTCACTTAGTGGCTGCACGCGACATTGCTCGCGAGGTATTAGCATTTCCTGTAACAAACCAATCATTAAAATATACTCGAGTTTTTAAAACTATACTTCGCTAAAACTTTCGCGAGTATTAATTAAGATGAAACTAATATTTTCGGATTACTACGCTTTATTTTTTTATGTGAAAAGTGGCAAACGAGCAGACGGCCTGCTTGGTGGGCAGTAGCCGCCGTCGTCCATAGACATCCGCAACATCTCTATTGAGAATGCGTTGCTCATCTTTGTTTTTTAGGAATAGGGAGCAGTGGGAATTAAGAAATGGCAGGAAAATGTTGGAATAGGGAAAGGGCAATCGGCTAATAATAACCGGCTATTTTATTATTTTAAATATGTATATACTCCAGAAGTTTCGGTTACTTTGCAGCAACCGTGATCACTGGCATTCGAGATGTGAATGTCCCGGTTGCTGCAAAATGACCGAAACGTCTGGAGTAGGTAGTTTTAAAAATAATGAAATGACCCATAGTAATCCGAAAATAATTGTTTCATTTAAAACTATACTTACTAATTATAGTAATTCCAAATTAACAGTTTTTCACTAAATATATATGAAGGTCTATACAATACACACGAGTATATGAAAACTGCGATTTTTTTTGTCCGTCTGTTTGTTTGAAACGGCTAATCTTTGGATCGGCTGAACCGATTTTATATACAATTTAATTCTTAGTTAGGTAATTAAGACTATTTTTTAACCAACTAATCTAATATTTTTTACGCTACTATAGATTTTTTTTGGAAAGGAAAATTTTTTCTGAAGTTTTACTCTTGTCATCACTTGGTGACAAGAGTAAAACTTCACAAGTAGTGGTGTTAACTTAAGCATCTGAATAAAAGATTTTAAGAAATCTATAGGACTCTTATAATTATGGGATCTAGGGGTCGTATGTGGCGAAAAGCATCGGAAATCATAAAAGGAAATATCTCCGCTAACCAGTCATTAATTTTAAGCAGTTTTTATTGTAACATTTAACATTAAATATGTACAAATGAAGCTAGACTATAACTAGAGGCTTATGATGAATTTTCAATATTAAAATTTTATAACATAAATTATAGTAATATTGTCCTTTTAATATCAATGATTCCTTAGCGAAGGGTTTATCAAAATCGGTATCGATCTAGATCTATCACTAAAACAAAGATCGTTAAAGATCTGTCAGTAATAAATTAATCAAACATTTTGAGAAAACTTGTTAGTAACTTATCAAGTTAGTAATTTCTTCCACCGTGTGAACATGAGTTGTTCTCATAGAATAATGTATGTTAAAACAATACATAGGAGTACAGTAAACAACGTTGCAGTATTTTCATTATAAATAACCTAGATACAGGCTGCATCGCTATCGGACGGCTGATTTGTGAATCTAAACCAACTGGGGCAAACCAAATGCATACAAAACAATTCTTTGAAATCCTGACGTTTAAGGCAGTTCAGTAATAAACAGATATTTAGTAGACTACAGTAAATTACAGATATTTAGTATCGTATATATAAAATTATCGTGTCGCGGTGTTAGACAGAGAACGCCTCCGAAATCGCTGGACCGATTTTAATGAGATTTTTTTGAGCATATTGAGTAGGTCTGAGAATCGGCCAATATCTATTTTTCATACCCCTAAGTCGTAAGAGTTGTTCACCCTTTTTTCTGTCGAAATTTTTTTTTAACCCGAAATTTTTACTTTCTTTTCACGAACCCATAAAAATAAAAATAAAAATAAAAATAAGGGGTTTAAAAATAGTTTTTTTATATGATAAAACAACGTTTTCCGGATCAGCTAGTATATATACTGTGCTGTATAATGTACGATAAAAAAATCTTATATATAGCTATATATATAGTACAATACTGTATTAACTATGAATGTATGTTAGCCTTTAAATCAAACAAGTTCATTAGCTTTACATTAAGAGTGTACTGACGAGGCTCGTTAGCGGGTCGGACTGAACAATCATCATCTATAGCTGGCTACATATATTGTATTGAAAGCTTTGTAAGGCTCACGACACTCCCTAGATATCTGCATGTTGGTATTAATCTATTATATACTGTTTCTTGGGTAGCTTACATTAATGGAATATTATCATGGGAGAATGTGATGGATATAAAAACTTGGTGGTTAGTTTAAAATTATTTCTCGAAACTTTTTGTCAACTTTGAACTATGTACGTAATTTTTTTGTGACCTTAAGCATTGCTTATGTGTATATGTATAAATATATGTACAGATATATGTACATATATGTATTTATGTAACTTAATTCCGTGATATGTTATTACAAAATCGTGACGCAGACTAATAATAATTAACTTACTGTCTAGCTTACTTGTTACAAAATTAAAGAAGGTTTCTATATATATTTGGTATTTATACAGCAAAGTCATTAAAATGGTCAAATTAAAAATAGAGTGAATTATATAGTATTACAAAATTGTGTCATAGAAACATTCCATTAACAGACATAAAAGTATATATAAAAATTATTTTATCCCGAAATTTTATATAGCTTTCAATTAGGTTAATTGTCATATAAAAATACAAATACATATGTGTGAAATATTCAAGCAAATTCCCAGTCACATTGGCAATCAATTAGTGACGCTCCTACCGTGTCTGGGATAAAAATTAAAAATATTTTCAACGTCCCATGACAGGCATTCGTTACTACTTTTTTATTCCAACAATTTTGTTTAAAATTCTTTTAATATTAAAAATGAAAAGTAAATCATTTGCTTCGTCGTAATTAATACTTATTGTCAAGAAAAAACCGTGGTTTTGGTTCCTCTGAAATATTATTGGACTATTTTAGTTCAAAAGACAGAAAAATTTCTTTGATCACATATTAAGTTGATCTACACTTTCATATTGTCTTCCATAAATCATCAATTAAACTTTATCGAATGGTAGTGTACTGAATACCCAAATTAAGAAACGGTACAAAACTAAATTATTTGTTAATTATTTTATGGCACTTTAAATGTACGTAAATTCGCTGACATCTTTATGTTCCGACAAATATGTAAAAGATACGAACAGGACTATATACCAGGGAACAAAGCAAGCGGTATATGCGAAGCAGTCTGATAGAATATTTCGGTTGAACTATTCGTAATGCAATTTCTGGACATAATGCTGTTTGCTTCAGTCCAACAGAGTATACAAAGCTTTAATTTAATGGTTACTAGAGAAGCAAAATTGGATACATTGTGTCTACCAAGCGTTGCACATTGAAGTATGTTTACGTGAGATATAATTATCAAGAATAGCTGTAATAACTGGGTGTAAACGATGATAAAATTAATGATTTTAATAGCTTTATATAAATTATCCATGCGTTTGAGTCAAAGCACTACAAGGTCATTTCACACAGGGTAACGAAATTGTTGAACTTAACTTTTGAAACTCATGTATAGCTGATATTAGGAGTAGTATCAAGCTCAAGCAGCTTCAAAGCTGGAATATAAACGTCTACAATATAAAATATACTAAAAGTGAGATAGAAAAAAATTAAAACATAAATAGTTACTAGAATCTTAACTCTTATTTGAGTGACGAAGACCTCTATTTAAACTGCTATTAATATAGCAGTATACATTAAAATTATGTACTAAATTCTGTTTATAATATTTGCAATAAATTATTCGAATACAAAAGTTAAAACTGAATTCTGGCACAGGTCTGTTTGATTCAGAAATGGCAATAATGATCACGAATGTACAGTAGGTAATAGAATTGGTAACCGCAGATTATAATTGGCTACTAGGTAGCGTTTGTGAAATAGAGAGCCTTTGATGTGTTGAAAACTAGGCATAATTATGTCTGCATACCGAATTAATAAATGAAACCAATCCAGCTTATTTGAGGGTACGTTAGGTAGATGCTTTGACAACACAAAAGCGTCAATCCCTTCACAATTTCGAAGGTTCTTGCAGACTAGAAAGCTTGATAATCTTAATAGTATATCTGGATTGGAGGTCTTTACAATGTTAATAAGTGATGAATATCGAAGAAAGTCTCAATAAATTGAGGTTAAAAATAGATTTGTATGTAACACCCATTGTCCACTTTAATTTACTCGAGAGAAATTAACAGACGAATCCTATTAGATTTAGCAGCTAGCGGGGAAAGCAAAATATTTGATCTTTTGAAATGTCTTACTACTCAAAATAAAATAATAATGCCATAAGTCAAAACAGTGAAGACTTACGTCAGTAGGATTTATATGCGTTTTTTGGGCCTCATAAGAAATTACGTAATTGATAAAATCCTAAAACAAAGAGAACGACCAAGTTACTCAATATTATTGATGTGACATAGGGTATGTTATAATATGAACAACTGGTAGTTGAGTACCAAAATTCCCGGGTAGTCATGACACCGGTAGTCTAAGGTAAATATCTATAGATGACACCTTAGAAAGCATTGAAAGTCCATTGATTAACTGAGAAGTTGATATAATTCAATACTTCTCTTCTAATTCACATTATTTTCATTGTATTATCTTCCAATCCCCGACAGTATTGCTTTGGACGTACGCTTATAACAATAACACTATGTTGACATTGTAGAAAAGAGCAATTGCATCTATATACAATGAAAACTCTCTACGGAGTACGAATTATATAGTGAGTTACGTTAGAGTAAACATATATATTTATATATACATATAACACTATTGAAGAGCAACAAAAATTGTTAAACTACTAGGCGTAAATAAGTTTGCAGCCACAAGATTCAGTTTACACAAAGTCAGTTCATCCTCTCTGGGGCAAGTTAACACCCAATCTAATAAAATGTGCTGAACACAGTATTTAAAACATTTATATTATATATGAAAATTAATTTCACAATTATGCCCATGAAAAAACACCTTTATAGTTTAAATAGAACTAATATTTTTCATCCTGTCTGTCCGTGATCACGGTTGCTGAAAAGTAACTGAATTATTGGGAGTATGCAGTTTTTTTACATAAATAAAGCACGCGTTGTACATCCGAA